AGACAAACAACCATTCACTCTCTCACTCACACCTAGGGACAATTTAGAGTTACCAATCAGCCTAACATGCATGTTTTTGGTCTGAGGGAGGAAACTGGAGTACACGTAGAAAACATGCACAGAGAGAACATGCAAACTCCACCCAGAAAGGTTCATGGCCGGGATTCAATCCAGCAACCTTCTTGCTGCAAGGCAGCATCTTTACCACCCGTGCCAACGTTCTGCCTAACTCAAAAACCAGATTTGTTAAATCAGCTGAACAGCTGTTTTTGGCTGTTCTCAGACCTGTTTAAGCGGCAGTCATCCTCCAATGCAAGAGTTGGGGGTTCGAATCCACCAGCAGTCACATGTCGAAGTGTCCTTGGGCAAGACACTGAACCTCTCACTGCTTCTGATGTGTGTCCCATCAGTGTATGAATGTGATAAAGCTCTGATTAGTCTCTTGAATGATTTGTTCAGTTAGCTTTGTATAGATCTAGTAGAGTGCTGTGTGAATGAGGCACAGATTGTAGAGTAAAGCGCTTTGAGTATCTTGATAAGATAAAAAGGTGCTATATACGTACAGTCCATTTACTCTAAAGGGTTCATGTTTCTTCAAGCCCATCAGTGTCATCCTGGAATAAACTTTGTGCAACACAGATACTACAATAATGCTGTTGACGTCATCATCATTACCATGCGTTGTTTTATGTGCTGCAACTACAGCTACGTCCTGCAGAAATCTGACCAATCTTGGATGGTATTTCTCTGTCAGCTGAAGTCAAAACATAAAGCTGAGTTCTCCCCTTCTTTTTCTCATTTTTGCTCTTGGAAAAGCAGCAACACACATTATTACAAACTGAATGTTTGAGGTTTTTGTTTTCTAATAAATAAAACTGCACAATTCAACCAATGCTCAGATTTGGGTCAAGATAAATCACTTTGTTGTTTTCATGGTTTTCTTTACCTATCGCCAAACCGGCGACTAAACACAGGCCTGCCCACAAGAGAACGACCAATGCGACCAGAACTCACAGCCACATCACAGGAAGAGGAAGGGAAACCACATCACACCAGCACGAGAAGCTCAACCACAGCTGAGAACTGAAAGCAAACTCGACCACACGGCAGATGTGTGTGGGATGAGCATCCTGAAATAGATCTGGTTGTTGGATGACTGGATATGAGGATGAGGATGTTTTTAATAAGTTTCTGCTTGTGCAGGAAAAAAAAGCCCCCCCCCCCCCCCCGCACTACTTATTGCCTAATGTTACCCGTTACCTGGCAAAAATCCATCATCTCACGTAAAAATAAAACGTTCTAAAGCAATAGTTACATAAACTATAACTGACTCCTGAGTTTGGACTTGTTGCCATGACTACACAACATTATTATTATTTTAGATGTTACGGTGAATAATAATAATAATAATAATAATGAATTTAATTTGTAACGCACTTTTCATTAACAAAAATCTCAAAGTGCTACAGGGTGCAACTAAAATCAGTGATAAAATCTACTAAAATCAATGATACAATCAACTAAAATCAATGATACAATCATGTGGAGGCAGAATAGGCTTGCCTAAAAAGAAAAGTCTTTAAGCCTTTTTTAAAGTCAGTCAATGATTGTGGAGCTCTCAGATATTCAGGGAGGGAGGTCCAGGGGTGGGGGGCAGCCACACAGAATGCCCGATCTCCCGTGGTCCTTAATTTAGTTCGTGGAAGGTGGAGGAGATTACTGTTCTGTGATCGTAGGGACCGGGTGGATGAATATGGAGCAAGAAGGTCCTTCAGATAATCTGGTGAATTTCCGTATAAACACTGACGGGTGATGAGAGCAATTTTGTACTGAATTCTGTAAGTGACAGGAAGCCAATGGAGGTTATGGAGAATGGGTGTAATATGTTCAAATTTACGAGCTCTCAATAAAATCCTGGCTGCACTGTTTTGAATATATTGAAGCTTCTGAAGGTTTTTGCTGGGTATTCCAGTAAACAGGGAGTTGCAGTAGTCGAGCCTGGAGGAGACAAAAGCATGGATGAGTTTCTCTGCATCAGCAAAAGTGAGAGATGGGCGCAGTTTGAAGATATTTCGGAGATGGAAGAAACAGGTTTTAAACAGATGCTTAATGTGATTTTCAAATGTAAAATGAGAGTCCATTTTTATTCCAAGATTTGTAACAGAGGTGGAGAGGGGGATGTCTTGTCCAGAAAAGGAAGTGGATGTTATAGTTGAAGTTTGAACCTGGTGAGGGGTGCCAATCAGTATGGCCTTTGTTTTGGAGCAGTTTAACTGAAGAAAGTTCAGATTCATCCATGCCCTTATCTTCTCCAGACAGGTAGAGAGGGCAGTGAGTGAAGATGGAGATGACAATGATGAAGATGATGCTCCAGTCCTGATGTAAAGCTGTGTATCGTCGGCATAACAGTGAAAAGAAATGTTGTACTGATTAATAATTTGACCTAAAGGCAGCATGTAAAGGGAAAACAGCAGGGGCCCTAGAACTGACCCTTGAGGGACACCACAGGAGACACAGACAGTCTGGGACTTGGCATTGCAAAGACTAACACATTCCAGCCTATTGGAGAGGAAATATTTAAACCAGTCTAGGACAGTGTCACAGAGACCGACCTCCACATGAAGACGGTGGAGGAGGATACTATGGTCCACAGTGTCGAAAGCTGCAGTGAGGTCAAGGAGAACAAGGAGGGAGGGAGAACCAGTGTCAGCAGCCATGAGGACACCATTGCTAACTCTCAGCAGTGCGGTCTCAGTACTGTGAGCTGCACGGAAGCCAGACTGAAACTTCTCATACAGGGAGTGTTGTTGTAGGTGGATCTGTAGCTGAGCAGCAACTGCTTTTTCCAGCACTTTGGACAGAAAGGGGAGGTGAGAAATTGGGCGGTAATTAGAAAGAATGTCTGGATCCAAATTAGATTTTTTCAGAAGAGGCCTAATGATGGCAGTTTTAAGAGGCAGTGGAACATGACCAGATTGCAGTGACTTATTTATTATTTGTGTGATTAATGGGCTTATTGCAGAGTGATTGGATTTAATGAGAGACGAGGGGAAGGGATCCAGGGCGCAGGATGAAGGTTTCACTTTCTTGATGATGGTCTCCACTTCACTCTCAACAACCTCATCAAAGCAGCTCAGGGACCCAGAATGCAGACGGGTAGATGTCAGACGAAGATCAGGGAGGCTATGGAGCTGAGATCTAACGGAGTTGACTTTGTTTTAAAAAAATGAAAGGAACAGGTTGCATTTTTGAACAGAGTCCTCATGAGATTGTTTAATGGGATTAAGGAGATGATTTATTGTGGAGAAGAGTTGTTTAGAGTTTCCAGGGCAGTTGTTGATGATGTTAGAATAATATTTGGACCATGCTTCTTTAAGAGAAAATAAAAAAAAAAGTATGCTCATAGGACTCATAGTAATTTAAACAACTCGTTTTGTTTTGTTTATCCATAGACCAGACACATTTATTACCTGTCTGTCACAAAATAAGAGAATAAAGCCTTATATGTTGGAACTTAATGGGATTACAGTAGTATAATGCTTTTTACTAAACAATGAAAGGCTGACAAGTTTCACAGACAACAGCACCCTCCTCTGACTTCAACTGGTGCTGTTTGATTTGAGACTTTTTAGTGTGATATGTTTAATATTCAGACTGTAGCCTTAAAATGAACCACACAAGGAATTTAAAAAGATCAGTTTTAACTTTAAGATTTTCTTTGAAACCTTTACACAAATAATCTATTTAAACGTTCATTGTGCTACATTTGATTGGAAGCACATGGACAACTTAATGCAGGCGATGAGCTTTTTAGCTTTTAGTTTCACTCAACTTTAACCAACATTCCTCCATTTAACTTGCATAGTTTTAGAGGTTGTTGTTCAGTTTTAATCCAACTTATAAAAACTATACATTTTAAAATCTCTGACTACAAAACACCAACAGCTTTGAATCTGATTTTATCCAGTCACCATGTTTCTGCTGAATAAATCTTTAACCGTCCTGCCGCCCTTGGGCCAAAATGATCCTCGAAGCCTGGGTTTTAAAACGGAGGCCTGGTGGGTCATGTTAAAATAAGCTTCTAAATTATTACAAGTCTGAGTAAATGTAACAGCAAATATATGTTATGATTGTTTTTTATTAACATTATAAGGAACTTTACAAAATATCAAGTTAGATAATACCGGATATTAAGAGTGGAGGAATTACAGGTTATCAAAAATAGCTGCAAAATATCTGTCCACATGGATAATTTGTTTACCTCAACATAGTAAAAAATACTTCTTATAAAATACAGGAAAGCTGCAAAGACAAATATAAAGATAAATCCAAAACCACATTCGGAACAAGATTTAGCTTTAAAGTAAAAATGTCTGTTCATCAACCTGAACAGCAAAAGTTGATTTATTCTACTGATGCAGTTTGATCCCTTCATGTTCAGGTTTTAAACATTTAGCATAAAAAAAAAGTTTGTTTTTCATTATTAAAACTAGTTTACAAAGCAACATAAATCCTCTCAGGCTATGTATCTAATATAT